ATTTTAGCACATAGATTTGCTTTGCATAGGTAATCATCTTTACCATTAAAGTACATTATCTTAGCCAGAACACATAAGTAGTTTTTAAAAAATATCTGTTTTGTCATGGCTTAACACACAAATTGCCCTGACAGCAGTCTGGAAAGGCACAGGTTTATTCAGCAGTGCTTGGTTTTACTTGATGTCTGTACGTAACACATGAAGGACTTAATTGTGTTGAACTTAACCTAGTTGTGGTATTCCTTTGGACTACTCTAGGGCTGTACCTTTTGGGTATATTGCTCAGGAGGTAATTCAGCTGTATTTATTTATTGTATGCAGAGTGATAAGCTTTAACATTATGTCTATGAAAAAAGTACTCTCTCATATTTAATGCTCAGGTTAGTTTCTTTCACGGTCTCCTTTACTTATAGACTGGTTTTGTTTTCACAATATCTGATGTATGAGTTCTTATGACTTACAACTCTATATTCAAAGTTTATGTATTTTTGTTTTCTTTAAGCAGTGTGTTTGGGATGGGTGTCTTTTGAGATCTAAATCCGTAGTCAGACTGTGTACTTTCCTTAATGCTTCACTGTGTCCAGATAATCACACACAAATAAACCAAACATAGAATACAGCACATTCTCCTTAGCTGTGAATTTTTTGCCCATTTTTATATTTTGCCATAGAGCCCATTTGTGGGGGCAGCAGCTGCAAGGACATGCTGAGAAAGGAAAGTGTCCTGTTTCCCCAGCAGGATGTCCTGAGGGAAGCATTGTGGTTTCGGGGTTGAAACTCTTGAAGTCTCTGTTTCAGTTAGTAGTCATACTTCTGCATTTATAATGTGAGTGCAATAAAGGTCAAATTTGTCTTCATGACCTTTTCTCCCCTCCTTCAGGTAGGCAGCACAACTATTGCCAAGAGGATGGATAAGGAGGAGTAGATGCCACACATGCTCTGGTTGCCTTGAGAGCATTGCCATTGTGATGTTTCTTTCCTTCTTGTCTCTTTTGTCCCTTTCCTCAACACACTCTGCCACAGTTTTTGTATTGACCCACTCCATAGACCAACCAACAAGGCAGAGGAAGTAAATAACAGTCTTTCCATGACAGCAAAAGGAGCCATGCCTTACTTTTTTTGGTAGTTTTGTGGTTTTACCCATCTGGCTCTGGGTTTTACCCATCTGGCAAGGTGAATTCCCAGCAGCTTCCAGAAGCACTTGGCTACAATTCACTGTACAGGAGCTTGTTTTTAACCCTGCTCTTGGTGAGCCTTATTCATAAAAAAATAAAATGAAAAGTGGGTAACAGAAGAAGGCATAAAACTGAGGCCCAAACCCAAGCCAAGCGCTATTGTTTGGTACTAAGAAGATAGTGAGTGAGCGATCCTGAGAGAGGGAACTGCAGAGAGGGGGTGGAAAGGAAATGCTGTCCTCTTCCTTGGCCATAGCATGGCTGTTACTATAGAATATGGCATCAGATTGGTACTCCTTCTCTGAGACCAGGTGAAATCTGACATCTGGTTGACAGCTGGCTGTGATTTCATCAGCATCGGAGCCAGTGAACAGACTTGAAATGCTTTGGGGGGTTTCCCTGCCTGCCTATGTTCTGTCTTCATTGCTGTAAACAAAGCCATCTTACTCAGGGTGTATCTTTGGTTTGGCAAATCTGAGGGAATTCACATCATCTGATTGCTCTCTCCCCCCAAAGACATGGATGTTGACTGAGCCCCCATTTGTTTAAATGTTTTATTTGTGCCTTCAGGGATAATGACCTGATGTAGCAAGGAGTGATATCAGGACCTACTTAACTAGTGAAGTCATAGGGTCAGCCTTGTGCTCATGCTGTGTGCACTCCTCCCAACCCCCCGTGGTTTGCTTTTGCCTCGTGAGTTGAAGGCTACTCTTGTTCATATTCTTTCCTGTGGTCTCCTCCCATTATTTTCTTCTTTCTTTTCCTGTTATCCTTCTCCTTTCTTGTTCCACAGTGTTTTTTCTTTTATGTCATATCATGCTGCAGCGACTTGAAGCTCTTTTAAAAAATTGTAGAAATAAGATACATCATTCATTCTGTACCCAGCATGAAATTTTCACTACCTGCACAGGACATACAGTGCCATTTTATATTCTGTGCTACTTGCATTTGCCTTGCATTGTATACAATATGGTCATTTCTGTTTGGGGATTTTAGTCATAGCCATCATACAAATGGTAGTAATACACTGCATTGCATATGGAGCTTATAAATGTGGCTGAAATTTGTTACAGGGCAAAGATTAAAAAGCAAATAATCTGGTAGTGAAGGACAGATGTAGGAAAATACCAGGACAATTTCTTGAGTAGTGCTGCTGTGCTTCTGATTTTCTCAAAGAATTGAAAGCTTTTAAATTTGATTTTAGTTTCATGAGGACAAGTGTACTCAGGATTTGCTTTGCTTAACACATTTAATTTATTTTTGGCTTGCTTTTCATATAGCCCTCCCTACCTCCCCCCCATCTTCTTGCTCTAGGCACTTGCAGCACCAAGTGAGCCTGGTTGGGAGCAGCAGCATCTAAACACCTTGGCACTTCCAGCAAGATCTTTGGGGACGGGTACTGAGCAACACAGAGGGAGTTGGGTTTGTTTAGTCTAGAGAAGAGGAGGCTCAGGGGGACCTCCTTTCTCTCTACAGCTACCTGAAAAGAAGTTGGTTGTAGTGAGGTGGGGGTCAGTCTCTTCCACCGTGCCTGCAGTGAGAGGACAAGAGGAAATGGCCTTAAGCTGAGACGGGAAATTCAAGTTAGGTATTAGAAAAAAACTTTCACTATAGGGTGCTTAGTCATTGGTATAGATTACTCAGGCAGGTGGTGGAGTCACCATCCTTGGAGGTGTTCAAGAGGTGCCTGGTTCTGGCACTGGGTGATGTGGTTTAGGGGCTACAGTGGTAGTGCTCGGTGGACAACCGAACAGGATGACCTTGAAGGTCTCTCCCAACCTTGATGATTCTATAAATCCATAAATGTATAAATCTATAAATCTTCAGGCAGCCTTAGATATTACCTGAAGGTTGCTTAGAGCCATGTTTGGGGGGTTTTTGTGCAGTTGCAGTATGGTAACAACCAGCCCATTTCTTCACGCAGTTTTAAGGTGGTTTTTGCCTTTTTGTTAAGGGAGCAGGGCTGTTGTTGGAGGAGGCACATCTTTTCCTTGTTGACTGCCCAAAAAGAAGCATAAAAAGGCTGGGCTTTCTTGGCAAAGATAGTCTTCATCAGCTTCTTCCAGCGACGTGCTGGAAGGCCCTGGCTGTGGAGCCGGGCGGCGTGCCCTACTCCTGCTGGTTCGGTCTGATCCTCGCCGTGTTTATTCTCTGGACCTGCCTTCTGCCTTCGCGGCTCGCAGGATCCCACGCTCGTTAACTTGCCCGCTGTGCCCAGGGGGTGCCGGGACGCGGCGCTACGGTGGGTGGAGTTGGGGATGCAGCCCCGCCGCCGCAGCTCTGCCGCGCCCGCCCGGCCCGGCCGCCGCTTCGGGACAACAGCATCGGTCCGGCTGCCGGGCTGGTAAGTCCTGCTTTCCCTCCGTGCTCCCAGGGTCCGTCTCTTTCTGTTTTTCCCCAGTAGCGTTTAATTTTCGGGGGTGAGGCTGTTGTGTGACAGAATCTTTTTGGGATGTAAGCAGCCCTGACTCCCCTTGCTGTTCTGGGGGAGGGGGGGGGGTAGTTACCTTCACTTCTGGTGTGCTGTCAGCCTTCCTCTTCTGGAGATTAACCAGCTCAGCTTCTAAGTGAAGCTGTCCCAACTGCGAGCGAGTGCCTTCCAAATTTAGTGATTTCGTATCTGCCACGGAAAACTGTTTTGTGAAGTTTTATTGTATATTCAGTGAAGCATATTGTATAAACAGTGAACCACACGTATACACACACATATATAGTGAAATATATATATAGTTAAACATATATGTATAGTTAAACTCACGTATATAGTGAAACATATACAGTAAAGCATATTGGATAAATAGTAACACATATACATACATACACACGCACATACACACACACACACACACATATATATATATATATATATATATATATATATATATATATGTAAAGAGTTCCCAGCCTTTCTCATGAAAGTTTTTTCCTGGTGTACTTGAACCGAATACTTCAATATTTCTACGAGCCTGTGGATCAGACAAGATCCATTGCTTTTATGTAGATAAATTACCACCTCTAATTACTTACGTAAAATGGAAAAATAAGAGAATTTGGAAGAAATGTTGAGAGCAAACAAAAGGCTTTAAAGAGTCTGTATAGGAAATTGCTCAGAAAAGCAGTTTGGAATTTATTTTTTAAGAGATCTTCCAATTTATTCTGGACCAGGGAAAATATCAGCATTCCAGAAATGAAAAAGGCCACCTGTTTGTCTGCAGCTGTCCTGCAAAACAGAGCAGTGCTACTGGCAACTAATAATATCTCCAACTCACAGAAGTGGCATGTATTTGGCATTTTATTCAGTGTTCCGTGCAGACATACAGCTTGGCTAGCTTTTATTTTCCCCAAGTTTATCTGTATATCTCATCCAGGCCATGCAGTAGCACGTTTACAAATGATGGCTCCGCAGTGATAAGCTGTAGGACCGATTTGCAGTGCGAATACAGTGAGAATGTTTTGTATACTATTGTGGCAGATGAAAGGAATGGAAGTGGGCCAAATTCAAGCTGTTTGCCATTGCATCTGATCAGCAGATCCTATGGAGAGAATTTGCCTGCTGTGAATATTTGATTCTCGCTAGCTTGAGCTATCTTGTGTGTTGGCAGTGCTACTGTGTGAATTTGCAGTGGCTTTCCAGGGTGTCTGTCCTGCTCAACTGCCAGTTTCTGGGGTTTTTTGCAGGATTCAGGATTTTGTGCACCACTTTGTGCATGAGGAAAATGACTTAATGCTATACAGTGAACATTTTTTCATATTTATAGTGCAGAGATTAAAACCAACCAAACAAAAAATGATTACAAGTGAGCAGTGTATTGTTTTGCCTCCATACACCTTCAGGAAGGTGTAACTCCTCCACCACCTACTCTCTCTGCATTACCTGCAGGTGGTTTTCCTGGCAAAGTGATTTTGTAGAGGTGAGTCTGTCAGTTACACACCAGAAAGGATGAATAGGGGACGGTATTGAAATGGAGTTGTGAGCGCAGGAGCGTTTTTCCCTTCCCTTTTCTCTTTCTTCACCCTTATCTGTCCATGACCATTCTTATTGGTTCATGGCTGACTTTGCCTGAGAGTTCATAGTTTTGTGTGTTGGTTAATTTTTTGTTTCTGAAATTTGGTAAAGCAAAACATTTACGTCAGTAATTTTTGGATTTCTCTACTGACAAGTAAATGACATTGCTTATAGTGCTGATCTAACAGGAACTCTCAGGACTCTGCTGAGGAAAGCAAAAAAGGGTTGGGTTTTAATCTGTTAGTGTATCCTATGCTTGTGTCCAGTGTCTGTCACCACACTGAAGTGTTTGTCTTCTGTAAGCAGCCTATTTAGATTTTTCTGTCATTTTATCAATTAAGCATAGTTAAAATTTTATAGCTATCTGTATATCTGTAGATATCTGTAAATTATAGATTTATAATTTATAGATCTGTATAAATATATTTACAGATATAAAATTTTATACTTTGAAAGAATAGAGAAAATCTGCAAAATAATTTTAGGCTTTTCCTCTGTGTGTATGAAGGACAAATGCCAGAAGATTTTTGATTGTAATGCCGTTGAGTAAAACCAAGAGGAGCCAGCATGAGACAGTTGCAGCAAGCCATAGCTGAGAGAAAGGCAATATCATTTCCATTTAATGTATTGATGAAATTGTGTTTTAGTGCCTTGTAGGGACTGGCAAAAGGACCAAATTCTGGTCATGTATCTTCTGAGACACTGTAAAAGATACCACCCGTTAGCTGAGGCACGGCAGCTGGCCACGATGCGATCCTTGCCATTGCAGTGTGACCCATTTGCATGACCTATTTAACTCTGCCAAGTTGTAGGGAGCTGGGCAGGCACATTAAATGTGTCTTTTCGGTCACTTATTTAAAGCAAGGGTGTTTCATATACATTAGTACTTGTAAACCTGGGGTCTTTGTCTTTTTTAGTTGCTTCAGCAGTGACAAAAAGTAGGACTTCAGGTGACTACAAAAAATGCATAGTTGCAGCTAACAGACACAGAACAAAAAATCCTCTCAAAAGATGTAAGAAAAATTTTTTGAGAACTGAAGAAGCCAGGACCTGATCAATGCAAGGTGTAGTAATCCTGAGAGAAAGCTTTGCTGGGAGCTGGGTGTTAATGTTAAGAACTCCTTTCTTCTTCTAGGGGCTTATGACTGATTTTCTCCAGTGTCTCAATGGAACAAACAAATGTGAATTTCATCTGTACTAGAACAAACTAGGAAAAGTTTAGTTTTGCAGTAGAATGAGGTACATTTTTGGCTTGGGGCTTAGGCAGCCTAGGCAGGTGTTCTTGAATAAATATGACACCTGAAAACATCTTTTTGTTGGCCTTTTTTTTTTTTTTTTCAATCTGTTTAAACAAATGGCCATTTTTAGTACCATTGGGAAATAAAAATTATGAGATTGTTAGCAAAAGTAAAAACTTCTTTCAGTGCTCATTTGTTGTATCTTCTTGTTGTGTGTGATTCTTTATACCCACACAAGATACTAGCTTTCTGAGCATCTGCTTGGGTGATGATGTTAGTGACTGTTGGGAAATGTTTTTGCTTTGATGACCATCAAAATAAAAGCAGGTAAGCAAACAGGCATGCAGCGGTGACACTGGTTTTTTGAGAAATGGGCATTTGTTCATCAACAGAAGAACTGAGTTTCCAAACTACATGGCTGCCAAATGGACTGGTGTTTTTGTTACTGCATATCATAACTTGGTTGTGAACTTTTGGCATAAAGATGGGTGCAGTTAGTTATCTCCCACATTCCTCTTCCTTTGGTTCTTTTCTAAACCTGTTAGGTTACTGTGTCCTCTATGTCCTGTGTATTTTTGTTAAATTTGGAAATACTGTTTGGAACTCTTTTTGAATGCTTTTGCATTTTTATTAGATTTACACATTGATCTACCCAGCGTTTGAAAGTGACCAGAATTGTCCTCCATCAAAGACCAAACACAAGACTTATTCACAATGCAGTTGGAAAAATTGTAATGCAAACAGTAAGCCAGATGGAGAATTTTACAAGCGTCTTTTCATGTCATGAATGATGCTGTCTCCCTGGGTTATGGGCTCTCTACTCTCTCGACTGCTGTTCCTTTCCCCCTGGCACCCCTCCAGAGCTGTTAAGTTTCAGCCAGGGAAGGAAGAGAGATTTGGACTCCTCTGAATTTCCAAGTCTGTATTTTTTGCGGTGTGGCTGGCGAGCTTTGTGTGTGTGAGTGTTGGCATGCTGAGAGCCGCAGTGATTAGCATTCTGATTGCTGCCCCCCAACAGAACAAACAGGGCTGCTCTCAAGGAGCCATGGCTTTCCACCCAAACAAAGGCCTGGGAGCAGATGTGAGGAGAGCCCTGCTCACAAATCCTGCTCTGTCACGCAGGGTGGGTAAGAGCTAAACACTACTCAGGCTCCTCTGGTTCCTAGTTTTTAGAAAAATGGAGGTCTCTGCCACACTCTGTGGTTCTAGTCCTTTGTAACTCTTCACATGGCAGCTTAAATTTAGTTGGAGATTTAAGATGAGAGGCCTCAGAGAATATCAAGCTGTACATTATGTCTTTACTTCTTCACACATCTACAGTTGCAGTTGCTGATCTAGAAACAAACATATTTAAAGACTTGTTCTCTACTGACCTTCAAGATGTATTCATGTAAGAAATATTCACTGGTTCTGTAAAAGGGAGCGGTGTAGATGCATATGTGTAAATATAAAACATATATTAACTGTATAGGTGCACCTGCGAATTTAATCTGCTGGGTGCAAACCTATGTGTCATCACTTGCATTGGGTTTGAAAGTTTGTGCTTAGTCTCTCTTAGTTATTGGGTTTTAATTTTTACTCTTTGAAAAGTGTAAATCCTTCATAAAAAGTGTTACACAATTGGTGTTGTTTCTTCTTATAGACAGTAGTCAAGTTAAGTGTAGCTTCAAGGTTGTTATTTCAGAAGAAACCACTCTTTTCTCAGTGGCTTCTGACTGGTTAAGATTGGAGAGGCAAGAGACCAGTTGTGTTAACTGGCTTGCTCATATTGACATGCAAAACCTTTTCTGAAAAAACTGCTTACTTAAATGGTGGTGGACTGTTTCATATCTACTCTTCCTGCTTCCTTCAGAAATCCTGCCTTTTCTACCCCATAACATGCTGATGTGTTGGCAGCCTACATCAGTAAGTGGGAAATTAGCAGGGCTTTTTCAGTTTAAAAAGTTGCCGACATCTGAGTTTGAAAAGACGCAAGTCAATAAACTTGTTGTAGTTATATATTTGGGGGGGGGGGGGGGAAGAAGAGGGGAATAAAAAGAAAAGGAAAGAAGTTTAATATCTGTCCAGTTTTCAAACAAAATCTGTACTGACTTCTTAAATTATGTGACTGGAGATGTCTTTGGTTCTTCGTTGAGCTAATGGTATGACTGTTCATGAACAGGAACTGAGGTTGGTTTGGTAAGTTATATTTTTAAATGAAGGAGAGTTAAAAGTGTTGGGGTTTTTTTGTGTCTCTTTTCAGGATAATATCATATTATTCTTAAGAGGCTGCAAAGAGCTGGGACTTAAAGAATCTCAGCTTTTTGATCCTGGTGATCTGCAGGACACATCAAACAGAGTAACCATCAAGTAAGTACAAAAGCAGTTTGTGATTAGCATGTTACAGCCTCAGATGCATGTGATGCAATAGTAAATATTTAAGGATAAGCAAAAAGGCTATAGAACTGTCACTTGTATAAAGCAAGTAGGAAGCTGAGGTTTGGGAAACCTTCAGTGCTGGGAAGAATAGATTGTTCCATTCAACAGGTTTTGTCTAAGGGCTGTTATTTTTCCCACAGAGATCAACCACAGCTATTTTAAAATAGGACAGTGTTTGGACAATACTCTCGGGCACATGTTGTGACTCTTGAGGGTGGTCCTGTGCAGGACTAAGAGTTGGACTTGATGATCCTTGTGCATCCCTTCCAACTCAACATATTCTGTGATTCTATGATTCTGTGAAAATACTGTTTTAGTTAGGCAGTGAGATTCTGAGGGACTTGGGGATTTTCCTGAGTCTAAATTTAGTCTGTCCAACTAATAAACTATTGTAGTCCAGGGGGAAAAAAAATCAAAGCTCAGATTAAAGAGTTCTGATGTTGTGATATAGGGCATTTATAGTCCTCTCAAACTCTGTGAGGTGCAGACATGACCACAGTCTGTTTCCCTACAAGAGCTATAGGTTGGGAAGCAATAATTGGGCTGAAGATGTCTGTTTGGACTGGAAATGCCACAGTTTAGATACTTTCTCACCAAAGCCAGACACCTAGTACCAAACAGATTGCACAAGTTCCTCACCCTCCAAAAGCACCCCACAGTCTCATAAAATTCACAAAATTTGTGATTGGTGGTGTTTAAAAGTTTTCATGGAAGTTTTGGGTCTATCATGAGTAATATTACAGTTATAATAGAAGTTACTGGTCCACAGATCAGAAAATGCTGCTGAGTTGATTGAATGACCTCGTTTCATTTGGCCCAAAAGATCACTAATAAAATCCTAGTCAGACATACCCATTTTAGAAAAGTATATGGAAACAATTTACTGAATTTCAGCAGCATTTTTTTTAATTCTTTTCTGGCAGTGGAAGCTGGGCAAGTTTTCATGGTTTTCAAGCATTGTCTGGGAAAATTCAAAGGCTCTGAAAATCAAATTGGCCACTTTCCTTGTTTGAAGGAATAGTCTCCCATTTTTTACTCCTTTCCAAGTTTCTGACTCTGAGGTTTTCTTGCCTATACATACCACTGAGAGGGAGCTAGGTGACTTATTTCTTCTGAATCTGATAATACTGTAATGGAAAAGGTTCTTCATGATGTCCTACAAAATCATTACAGTGAGTGGCTAGAGAGAGTTGCAAAGCAATCCCTAATCTGAATTTTAAACCCCAATCGCCATATGACACTAGAAAGAAAGGATTTTTCTGATACGAACCTTGATCTTTTGGGTTTAAGGATGGATCGAGTACCTTGATGGAGGCAGAGCTGAGGACTGGGATGGAGCTCCGGGGAGAGCTGTCCAGCATGTCACCAAGTTAAAGCTGACATCATAAACTCAGCAGAGCTGGCCTGGCCCTCTGCTGAATATGATGCTAGATAGATGTGAACCATCTCACTGGCATGGCTTCCCCCCCCCCCCCAACATTTCAGAGAAAGCAGCTGTGGAAATGAGCCAAATGTTTTCCTAGCACTGGCCAAGTTCATGCTGAGTAACTGTCTTGAGCTGTACAAGCCAAGTCCATGACTCTTGTAGAGAAATATGTTGTAGACATGTCTTCTGCTAGCTAGTTCCCAAAACGTGAAGGTGATGTTTTTTCCCTTTTTGTAGACTTTTGGGTTATTTTTTGAACATGGTGAAAATGTTACTTGTTTTGTGGTAGAGGATGAATATGACATTATTGCACATGATTAACATAATGAAACGTTAACCTTTTTTTTTCATATAGGTGTTAATTGAGGTATGCATCAGAGCTATTTTTTTGGATCATTCTGCTTATAAGAGTTATGAGCTAATGCTGTAAAGAATTTCTTCCTGACTTGTTAAACAAGATTCTTTTCCACTGTTATTTTATTAAGAAAAAACCCCAGGACTGTTCTATTTTTCTTAGTATGTGGGTATTGGTGGACAAAATTTTGGCTTAAAAAGATGTTATCAAAAAATACTTTGTTTTACCATTGCCTATATTTAGGCTTTTGTTGTTCTAACAGATTTAAGTGCATTTACTTTTGTTTTTGTCATGCTGGAGTGGTCTTACTGTTATAGTAGAAGGCAATAATCAGGAGACAATCTTTACTAAATCTGAAGTAGTCTTATTTATTTTTCTGCACTTATATGTGATACACATTTCCTCCAATTTTTTGTAATGCTTTCTTTGCTAAATTTTGAAATGTTCATGTTTGCACAAACTTTGTGGCTTGTTGTTTCTAACATAAAAACTCCACCCTTTCAGGAACATTGAAGAAAAAAAAATAAATTGAGAAGGATGCCAGTGTTGAGTCTGAGTACTCAAGTATACATTGAAAAAATAAATGTTTTCCACAGCAGGTTCCGTTTTAAGTGGCAGGATCTTTGTTGCTTCACCCATCTACTTTGTTCTTTTTGATTCTTGTTTTCACAGAAGCACCTGTAATATTTCTTTTATGTTTGGTGATGTCTCCTGTGCATGTTCAGTTGCTTTCACAATCTATATGGGTTGCATGATTTATCACAGAGCAGAACCTGTGATAACTGCAGAATGTATTTTAGCAGTGAGGACTTTTGTCTTCTCTTTGTAAGAAATCAGCAACTCTGTTTAAAGGAAATATTTTTGGCA